TGCAGGGAGAGAGGAAGAGAGAGGGGAGGGACGGGCTGCTGACTGGTCACCCCCGCCACCCCCACATCTTCCCCCCCCCCCAACGGCATAAGCCGCGGAAGGGAAGGGGTGGGGGCGGCGTGAGCTGCTGCTGGCGCCGACGTCCGCGCTAGCAGGGCGCACGCGGGGCGACAGACAGAGCGCGTGCGGGGCAGCCGACGAGGCGCACACGGGGCTGCCGACGGGACGCGCGCGGGGCGACGGGCAGGGCGTCCACGGGGCAGCCGACGGGGCGTCCGCGAGGCAGCCGACGGGGCGTCCGCGGGGCAGCCGACGGGGCGACGAAACGGGGAGCCGCGGGGCGACGAAACGGGGGGCCGCGGGGCGACGAAACGGGGGGCCGCGGGGCGACGAAACGGGGGGGGGGGACGCGGGGCGACGAAACGGAAGGGCGCCACGGGCCGATTCGGGGGACCCGAGGGGCGCATTACGGGCTGCGCGACGGGTGGGCCCATGATCCTAAAAAAAAAATAGGTCCTTAGGATCTTACAGCTCAAGTTACCACCTCAGAAAGTAGACAAGGTTAGGAACCTACTATAGGAAGGTGACGAGAGAGGAGGATGTCAAGAAAGGAAGGGGGTTTCACTATTGAGGAAAAGGGTACAAATAGGAGAGAAACAAGGTATACCACCAACAGCTAAATGTAATACTACACTAGAGCTACAACTACATACAGTTATAACAATATAACTCTGACATTATCGTAATCTAATGATGCGAGAGAAAGGCATCTATACAAGCAAGCCCCGTCCCCACGTATAAATCGCCTTCGAATTGCATAACTTCATGGTAACTCACCGTCAAACGAAGGCCCCGTGAAATGCTGAGTTGGAGGCAACGCCATAACCAAAACGAAGATGCACGTCCACAAAATCCCCTCCCTCGTATTCCTGAAGAATGCACCAGAATTTGATAATATGATAACAAATGGTTATAAAATAAAAATATACAAATCAATGTTAGTGTACAAGCGGGTCAAAAATCTGACAACACAATGGTTTGGTAGAATTCACTAATGGTTAGATACAAAAATATCTTCATTTAAAACATCAAACTACCACAAATTGTAGGTTTACCTACTAGATATTACAATAATAAAAAACGATTAAAACAGTTACAACATGAACAAGGAAAATGAAACTATATATGTACAATCTTCCTAATAACAGATTCAATACAAGACAATCAATTATCTTGAAAACATCCAAGCAATGCTGGATGCTTTAGGTAATGCTACAGATATGAATCAGAGAAGAGAAAATCAAGTTGAGCGCAAAGGTTGAAAAACAAGAATCATTAAGATAAGACATTACACAAAAAATCGCTTTGCCATTATAGCATGATCAAGACCAAGTAAAAGTCAGAGAACATAAGTACCGCTCATACCTTCAGATGCCCTTAGACACATGTAAACTTGCAAAAGAGAAATTGCTGTTGTTACGGTTATAAAGTCCCAGAAGAACCTAACAAATAAAGAAAATAAGAGCTGTGAACAAAAATATAAACAAAGCAAATCAGAAATCACAAAGGGCAATGCATATTAAACAAAAAAAACTTCAACAACGATGACAATATAGAGCAATATGACAAGGTATTGTAACAAAACAAACTGTCAGAATAATATATAATTCTATATATTGTTCTATAACTGCCTGTAGTGTAGAATACTGTAGTTATAACGTTTTCCTATTTGGTGGTGCACCTTTCTTGTTTGTTCTCTCCTATTTGTACCCTCGCTCAATATTGAATCATCCTCTTTTGGCCTTCTCTCTCGACTCTCGTTCCTAACTCTCGCCATACCTAGGGTTCCTACTATCTTGCCTAAGATACTCTTACAACACAAACTTCACCAAACCAAAAACAGAACTAAAAGAAAATACCGCAAGCATGATACTTTACCTTGTCCAACTTCAAGACAGATGTCCTATTGGTGTTGTCATTGAAAAAAAAAAACAAACAGAAAATGGACAGCCAAACAAGAGTAGAAAGTTGGAAGAATTTAAAGATAGGCGTATGGAGGGAATGTATGAAAAGTTAAGAATCAAGAAACCATGGTGTTATGTTGAGGAATCTTACTGAAACTTATACAAAATAAATGTACAAAAAAAAAAAAAAACGGAGAGAATAATGAGGCATAACCTTAAGGAAGAGGAAAACACTGAAATGAGAAACAAAATGGGGTATCATACCATGAGGCAGAACCATGAAACTCATACATTCGAAAACCATAAGGAAGAGCAAGTTACAGAAATGAGAAGTACAACAAGGTATCTAATTACAAGTGAGATAACTCTAAGTACAAATAGACTTGATGATTCCACCTCGAATGTAAAAGAGCCTTGAGTGTTGAGAGTTGGAGAGCAGTTCTTGTGTGTTGAGCGTTGGAGAGCTTTGAAGGTTGGGAACTTGTGGAGAGCTAGAGAGCTTTATGGAGTGCTTGAAAGTTGGGAGTGTTTGGAGA